AATTTCTTTTTTTGTTCTTTCTTTTTTAAATAATGGTGATTTGTCTATTTAAAGATGGCGAGTTGTCTATTTTATTTATATGTCCACTTAAAATAGTAAATAACTTTATAGAAAAGATCATAATTCTTTAGATTCTTTTGCGTTTATTTGTTACTACTGTAGTAACACTACTGTTAATATGTTTATTGATAATAGTGAAATTGAAACAGATGAGATTAGTCTTAAATAAGTTATTAAAAGAAATACTGTCAACTTAAAAATAATTGATACTTTAGTGAAATGATTAGAACTAGACAATTTGAAATTAATTGGCGTCAAAATAAAAGAAATGCTGCTTGGCAAGAAGAAATTAATTTATACCTAAATTAGAACATCATGGTTAGGCAAGCTGAAAGTTATTATCACAAAAATGAAAAAGATAGGCCTAGGCAATATGAGATTAATCATGATCAAAATGCGCAAAATTCTAGATAATATTTATTTAGGAGAAATGAACCAGATGTCAGGATTGTTGTGATAAAAAAATTCTTGATGAATCATATTTTTTATGTTGCCATAATGGAAAAGAAGTTTTGCTTCCAGTTTCACTATTTCTGCAAGCTTTACAAGGTTTACAGGACGTTATATATTTCATAATTCCAATATCAAATTTTTTAAATACATTAAAATTTGTGGTTTAACCTATGAATCATAGGCCACCATGTTTTAAAATTTGTGGTCAAGTTTTTCATTGTGTAGGTAATCGTAGGCCAGATCAAGATATTGCCCCAACATTATCAACTGTATATCTCTGACCGGCTTGCAGCAGTGATTTTTAGAAAACAATAACATAGCAATCAACTTTGCTTACATAATTTAATGTTTAATTTGCAAACTATAGTTAGTGAAGTTGCAGTTGCATTCGTTGGAGAAGATAGTGCCCCACCTGCTTCCAGGGAAGTTATTTACGCAAAAGATCATTTAGAAGTTATATTGAGTATGTCAGCTAACTTAGATCCTTTGGTTTATTCACTTTTATTTCCAAGAGATGGCAAAATTGGTGCGCAACCCTGAAAATGCAACATTGGTTAGAAATCATAATAAATTATCTCAGTTTTAAGATTATGGACCTTCAGTAAGACAAAACATCTGTTTAATAATTTATGGCAAGAAACTATTTCAGCAATATGCTGCTGGTGCATATCTTAAAACTAAAGAGCAGTGTCTTGTTTTTTATAAAAATAACCAAAGCAAACTGAGAAGCATGCAATATAATGCATGCTTCTGCATAAAGATGTAAGCAACCTTAGTAACAATCATAACATTACACCTGGGTGCTTATAGTTCCTTATTTACTTAGAAAGTCTTTAAAAAAACTTTGAAAATGCCATGACTATAGTTAAAAAAAAAATTAAAAGTAATAAAAAAATCTGGTAAACCAAATCTTTTATTACATTGCCTGCAACCCAATATGGGTGTGTGGAATATTTTTATGTGTAACAAAGTAAATATTAATAGTTTATAAAATATAAAAAAGAAAAAGATATGTAGCTTAAAAAATTATAGTATTTTCATTCAAAGTTGATAGATGTTTATATTCTGTTTTTTTTTTTTTTTTAATGTTTTAAAAGCAATGTTACTTAACAGTGTGTAAAGCAATATTGTTATCCTTGCCAGTCAAGAGAGTTACAAAGTTGTGGTATTACTTGGCACCATTTAGTGCCGGGTTTCTGTTTATCATTTTTTACTTAAGACGCTTTGGAATTTTATAATTAACTTTTTATTTCCCATTACTTTCAAAAATTCTATATCATAACTGATAAGTTTAAGATTATTATAAAAACTTTTTTACTATTAGTTTTTATGACTATTATTTTTTAGACTATATTAAGATTTGTTATTTGTATTGTAGTTTGTTATATATATTTTAGTTTGTTATATATATTTTAGTTCTTTAATATTAGTCACTACATTTCTTTAATTTAATAAAATTTTCATATAGCTGATTATAATTATTCCAAAATTAAATGATTTTACGCATTTTTTTAAAAGCTTAAA